GTCACGTTGTCCCCTCTTATATATATACCCGCCTACCCCATCTAGTAAATACTAGAGCATTCATGAAGAAACAAGATAGTTTTAGAAACTAGAGGGCGCCACACCAGTCACGTGACCTCGATGACGCAACAGTATTTTACAACATAAATAAAAATACTATTACAAATAAAGTAAACACATATTACACAACCTAAAAAAAGTTCAGCCGCTTATTGTATGCGCCTTGAATGACTAAAAGTAGCCTACATAATTAATGTCAGGCCTCAACTTGTGAATAAGCAAATTCTCTTTAATTCGAAGGCTTTCACAAGCTGAGGCCTGACATTAATAGCATAGAACTGACATTTAATAACAATGGGGAAGGGTTTCTCGCACTGGAAACTATTCAAGGGATAAAAGAGGCACTGGAGTGGAAGTGGAAAATAATACTTACAGAGATAAAAATAACAGCAGTACTAAAGCAAAGTAGGAAAATGTTTCATTATATAAAAAATCATAAATATAAGATTCTACTGTATTTATTCTCCTCTTGAGAAGAAGCAGTACTATTTTGATTTTTTATACCGGTGGCAATTTTTGATTGGTTTCCTTCAACAAAAAATGTTATTTAAAACGAGTATTGTAGGAAGCAACTAAAACATAATAAACACTTTCGATTTGGAGAGTTAAGAAATCTCGTCACGAAGATGACGAAAATTAACGCAAGAAACGAAAATAAAACTAAGTCGATGTAGTAATTTCGTTGAAAATAACTCATTTACAATTTCTATTTATAGACATGATGATTTCAAATAGCCTAATGAATATGTTACGTCACAAATAATAAATATATTTACTACCCAAACATTAATAAATATTTCGGGCGTGGTAATTCTACAGAAACCTGGTTGACTGATAACACCCCAGTTGCTGTCAAATTCCATGGCGTACCAAAACATTTATTTTCCTTCCTTCCTCTTTTTCCAGTTTTTGGTATATTATTTTCAAATATTTCATTACATTAGTCCAAATTTAATCATTTTCACTCCATATGGAGATACGCGATTTTTGTCGTTTGTTCTCAAGTCAAATGTACATCCGTTTCTGAATGAGCCAGGAGAGTGAGGACACGAACATCCTGGGTAAGATGGCCAGATAAGGAAAATAAAAATTAAAGTATCCTAATTGTACGAGTTCATAACAACCAGTTAAAAAGGACAAACATACAATTTTTAAATATCAAATGGGAGAATTAATTTAAATAGTCACTATTATACAATAGACTAACAATATTGTAAAAAATATCACCTAAAAGCAACAGTTTTACTTCTCTGTCTTGCTTTTCCTCCTCTGCCCTTAAATCTTTGTCGATTTTCCTTGACCTGAGAGCAGCTTCCTTTTCGGCCGTAGAACTTACGGCACATCCCATGATCAGCTCCAGCGTTAGGCGATGAACTAAGCCTCACTTCGAATACCTAAAATCGAAGATGTATGTGTAACTGCAACTCACAAATAATAGAAAAACTTTGTATTTACTTTTCTATATTTAAAAATTAGGAAATTTGAAATGTGTTTAAACGTGCTGTAATTTCTCTAACATTTGAAAAAGAAATTAATAATTATGTTTAAAAGTTTAATTTATAAGGTAAGAAAATAAACTCATGAAAAGCTAAAAGGCCTGAGACGATCCTATAAAGAATATATATATACTACTTCCAATAACTACATAACATCAAACACAACTCAACAAGTGTCGGTTTCGACAGCCAAGCCTATCCATACAAATAACAAAGCGACATCTCTTAGTAATATTAGAAACTTAATAAAACTGTGAATGATGGCTCCGTTTAAACATTTAGCAAAACGGTAATACCACACGAAGTTTTTTGTTTGATTTTCCATCTTCATCATTACTGAAGTAGATTTTCCAATAAAAGGGTAAATATATTATAATCGGTGAGTTCTGCATTATTAATTTCTAACACTTCTAAATTAAGGACGACTAGAGTAGATAGCCATCGAGTAGCTTTTGTGCGAAATTCAAAAAACAAACAAACATACAAACAAGTAGTAAAACTCGATGAAGAGGTATTCATAGACACGTTCTTGTTTCTTTATTCTTTTTCGCGATATTAACACTGTTTTTCAGTAGTCTTGCTTAAGTTGATCGTTCTGTCTGTAGTATTGGTTATCTTTCATAGAAGAACCACACACATATGTGTATATGTTTTCATCTATGTGCTATTTCAAAAACCCGTCTTATTTTATAGTTTATACTTTCTTTCACAATTAAAGAAAAGTAGAACCTGTTTCAGAATCTGTCGAGAACCGTTGCAAAATATTTACTGGCATTTTTAGTGTAACTTAAGCACAAGTAATCTAGTTTTTCAACGTTATCGTCAGGGCTGTACGAAGAGTATGGCAAGTCGCCATAGGCTCGGGCCTATTATAGGCCCGAAGTTTCTACTTTTAAATTTTGGTCTGAGGCAAAAATAAATGAATCGTCAATCTTCAAATCCCTAAGTGTCTTTTTCTCTTCAGCACATCGTCTGATTATTTTTTACACTGAATCGTTTTAGAATTGTTGTCCATCGAACCGCCCTCTCGATGCCGCAATAAAGAGTCTTCTTTTTACAAATCCAGTTCGTAGTTTACTTTTGATAACGTTGAAATTCATTAAACTTGACCAGTTTGTAAAATAATCTGCCTGAAATTTGTGCTCTGTTTTCTTTCTTCATTTCAGTTTTCCTCACAGTTAGTCAACTGAAAATGAGATATTACAAGCATAAAAATGGTTGGGAAAAGGCAAGAGAGAAGCTGTAAAGCAAAAAATGTGTAAATGGATCATTTTTAAGTGTTCATATTTGTAACTAATTGTTTTTTAATATATCTATGACTTTGTATTCTTTGTATATAGAACGTACTAGTTATAACAATTATCATGATATGAACTAATTGATATTTTTCTTCCTGCACGCCTTACAACGCTAGGAACCGGGTTTCGATACCCGTGGCGGGCAAAGCACAGATAGCCCAATGTGTAGTTTTGTGCTTAATTACAAACAAATCTTCCTGCAGGTTTTCTTTTCATCACAACAGATGCTCTTTTCCATGACGTTACACTTTCACACACCTGTTGTAATATATATTGTTGCGTCAGCGAGGTCACGTGACTAGTGTCACGCCACGTTTCTAAAACTATCTTGTTCCTTCGTGAATGCCCTAGCATTTACTAGATATATGTTTGTCTGGTATATATATATATAAGACGCTCACAACGTG